CAGTCATACAGAGCTTTACCCAATTTCAACCTCGGAAAGAAAAGCGTGTAAACAATTTGTTAAATAAGCAACGAAACAATCTAGTTGCAACGCTATTCCGCCGCGCTTGTGGTATAAATATTAAATTTTACTGCGCATCCCCGCGCGTACTGAGGGCAATCACATCAGACCTGTGAACGCATAATTACAAATACTAAAATTGCTACGTCATGTTGCAATCACAAAAGATTGACTGAACTTTGTACATTTTTAAAGTATTGTTTACATAATTCATTTAATTTTTTTATCGTTTATAAACCAGTGCTTAACCACTATCCCACCTAGACCAAGGTGAAGATGTAGTCGAAGAATGGTACGCGCTAGTTTAGTAAGTACTGATTCACACTGCTCTTGAAGGCACCCAAAAAATTCCTTTATTTTGTTAATGAATGAAGTATTCAAAACAAAGTTCAACTTTATTACTTTGTCATCTCTTATTCCCTACTACCGTAGCGTGTCGAACGCGCCGGGTTTTCGTCCTCCAAATAACTCTATCATCCGTCATCTCAGTCATCACAAAGAGTTAAACGTCACATTTTACTAAACAGTACCATTTTTATTTTTAAAGTAATACCGTTAGTGTACTAGTAAAAGTAATGTTTTTTAAAACTATTCACTTTTGGTAGAAAACATTTGCTTAACGACACTCAGATAAACCTAACTCATCTATGGTAAGTGCCATAAATATCCAATTGAATTTTCTATTTATTTATTTCTAAGCTTGTGGAATGACTATGAGCGTACTTGGATATCGCTTTACGTGCTAAAGTATCCGCAGTTAGGAAACTATAAAACGCAAACTTAACCGTAACGCTCCAAACATGAAACGTTATACATTTACAGTTATGATCTCTACTTGAAGCTTACTTTAAAGATATCTACGAACTATTGTAACGAGTATATTAATTGGAGCCTAGCTTTTGCTGACGAATTCGTCTGAGGGAAGTTATGAAATACTAAAAAATATAGCCTATGTTACTCAGCGTAGCATTCTAATGGTAAAGATTTTTTGAAATCGACCCAGTAACGTTAACTGATAATTCTGTCTCAATAGACTCGTATTTTACGTTTTAAAACAAATTAATATATCGCTTATATCTTAGTAGTATTATTATAAATTTCTTAGGGTGCGTAATAACTGACGTTATGAGATGTAACATTCGCATGAAGTGCTTTAAGCTTATAGATTACACTACTCGATTTTTAGTTGTGCGAATAAACAGTTGAATTGGCTTCGAAACAATTGACAATCGCACATCATTTTTACTAGCATTAAAACTGTTATTACAAAAGTAAACAATCTTTTTTAGAGTAAATTAAATTTGACTATTTTATTAATTTGAGGATAAATTACTCAGTACCCATATCACTGTGACTAAGTTTATTTATGGAGTTGAAACAAATCTTTAGTTCAAAGAACAGTTATTCTTCAAGTTTAATACCATTAAGCCGGCACGCTCGGTCGGCGATAAACAAGCGATGACAATGCACGAGCAAACCCACTCTACTAAATTAACTCACCAACCTATACTTGTTACTTGCATTACAAGTACATCGTAGTGTAATATATTCTTCAAACACAAACTTGTCTGATAATACACCTATAACAGATTGAATAAAAGACAGTTTGAATATCGATTTATTTTAATCTTTAATCAAGATTTATTCACTTTATAATTTTCCATACATAAAATTGTTTATAAATGATGTACGAATGTAATTCGGTCAAAGTGTCGTAGTCTGATAAGCAAGAAATCGATTTTAATGTCAACTTATAATAAGTTATATGCATAAGTGGTCGGGTGATAAAGCTATATGTGATCACCTTTGAGTGATGATTTTAATCTATACTTATGTTAAAAAGTGAAAAGATTTGTATTTTTTTACGTATTGAAATAACTAATAACTACTGGCCCAATATTAAAAATTCTTGCACCATTAAAAAGCTGTGTTATCACTAAGTAGCATAGGCTATATTCTTTTTTACTTTCACGTGGATGAAATCGCGACCAACTATTGATATTAAATAATTAGCGCTACTATTAATAAAATTAATACCACGATTCAACATAGTAACATTCTTCCTTTTTTAAAAAAATAAAAAATGCCATTACATTACGGTGTGTAGGGCGACGAAATGTTTTATTTGTATTTCGTTTGGGGGTGAATTCGATACGTTATCCCTCCAATACATTCTGATAAATTTGTTTGATTGGATTGGTTTGAAAATCTTACCGCGAAATTTTTGAATAAAAATACACGAGTTGTATTGTTGCTTCCTATTCGCGAGGGTAATCCAATTTTTAATAAATCAGATGTTTATCGCAAACAGAATGGAAATTCAAGCTTATCGTAATGTAACAATAAAAACGTATTTTATATAGAAAACAAGTTTTAACTTGTAACAACTAGCAACAACTTTGTACCACTGTCGAGGTTACGATTTGATTTTTTCGGACAAGTTTTTATCCTGGCTTTAAACTAGGTTTTGTCCGCGACTCTGTCCGTGTAAATTTAAAAAAAAATTATATTAGGTATCCTGCGTGTTCTTCCAGACTATGTTCTACATCTATGTTAAATTTCATACAGATCCGTTAAACCGTTTAGGCTACAAACTCTAACAAACATCCATCCATCTTGATTAAAAACAAAAGACTATATACCTATACACTGAGTAGAAAAAAGATTTAGGGACTCAAATGTTAATGCAGTTTTAAAGTGTAATAATATAAACAGCGTCCAAGCTATGATTTTACAACGATAAGCTGTTGTTTATAAAAACTGGTGCTTGCTCTATTGCGTTGTAAGCTTAACAGACCACCCTAAAGAATAAATTCCCATTCGCATGCCCCGCAGCGATTAACACGACTAATTCATATTTGTCTTCGTTGAAAGCTAGCACCAAGTAATTGCTACACTTCACTGATTCACAGTGTTATAGTGAAATGTAAATAATGAGCTAGTTTTAACTGTTTTGGTATGTCTGTGTTCACTTTGTGTACTAGGAATAGTTTTGGTAACTTGACAAAGAATTTCTTAATTCATAAAAATGTAGTCTAATAGTACATAATTACGTTTAGTCTGATGATTTACTATAACTACTTTAATCTTACTTCTTACTAATATTATAAATGCCAAAGTTTCGATGGATGGATGATAGTTTGTTGTCTATACTGCGGAACGCATGTCGATTCAATTTTGTATAGATGTACTCGTAGATGATATTCTGGAAGAACATGTATGCTACTTTATGATGTTTGTTTTTCTTTTAATTCCACGCTGGGAAAAGCTAGTATTATCTATGGTTTGCACATCAAAAAACTAATCTACATAAATTTCACTCCAATAGTCTAAATGTAAGTACAGTTTACAAACCTTCTGTTTGAACAAGAACAAAAATAATTTGTTTACCATATTCCATTTGTCTGCATAAATCTTATACTACATTTAGCTATATAAGAGGGTTGTTTCGGCATCCTTAAAAAAGGATACAACTCGTAGGAGGAAATTACATTCTTATCTTAAGCCAGTGACCGCAATCTGCTGAAGATAACGCTAATGTCGACCCAATTGTACGCTTGTGAGCTTTACTTTTGTTAATTATCATTGAGTTTTATGCCTATTACAAGCAGTCTTTTAATGCTTACTAGAAGTCCCGAAGTGATTTCTCACTTTGACTACCGCACCGTCGTTAATTGGTCGCTTAGGGAGACCCTTAGTGTGAAATTCATATTCTCTTCTATTTTTCAAAACATAAAATCATCCCTTTCATTCTTTTTAAAATCGAAATAACAGAGTTTCAAAGCTAAAAAGCTATCATTCCGCTGCGAGCTACGACCTACGAGCTACGACCTACAAGCTAACAGCTACGAGCTCTGGCTACGGGGTTACGTGTTTCTTACGTAAATTACTTATGTTCTAAAAATTAAATATTAGTTTAACTTCCTTTTAAATGTTAATTGAATTTATCATCGAGTTATACAGTCAAAAATCATAAAACTGTTTACTAGTAGCTTTTATATTTCAATAGCATAAATGTGTAGACTTTACGGCTACAATTTAGTTCGGAAGACGCAGACTCCGTGGCGCCGGACAGACTGGCGTCGGAGGGGCGACGCCAAATGTTATTGATAACTATGGGGAGCTTTTGTTATTCAGGGCTGCCAACTCTTATAAACTCCAATAGAAGACACTGACTGAAAAACTTAAATTTTACGACCTTGATAATTTTACCGACGGCGGGAAATAAACAGATACACTTCATAGCATAAGTAATGATTGCTTAAAATATTACGTTAATTACAACCTAAAAATCCTGTAAAACATGATTTATGTAATGTTTTAGCGTAAGCAAACAATAACAACAAAATGAATGGTTCATTAAATATGAACTTTTCCCCAACGAAAAAGAAGTATTGTGAAAAATACATTTGCGAAATGCATAAATCTAAACTGGCTTCGAACAGATCTATTCGAATATGGTACTTATTCTAAGGTATTAGAGTTGATATTTGTATGGTATTTAGTCTAGTCGTTAAAAGTATACGGAGCCAAACAGGAAGCGAACAGCGGTTGGTAGACAAAGCTCGTTGCTCGCCGGATGTGGGTGTATCTGAAAGTTGCGTTTCCAGTTAATGTGGAAAGTGCTTATGTTGACTACGCTGTTGTTTTATAAAAAAAAAACTAATTATTTTAAAAGTTAGTCCTACTGGGCCAACGGGGATGCAAGGGGTTTTAGTTAACGGTCATATAATAATGTTAGCTGTATCGTAATGTTACTATGTAATACGTTAGTATATTGTAACTAATTCGTCACAATACTATTTGTGACCTGAAGACTTAAATTTTTGAAGGGGTTTGAAAGGAAAGGAGAACATTTTTTACAACTATTAAGCATTATATAGTCTGTAATATTATTTTTTTATTAGTTTGTTTGTTCTAAAACATTTGTTACTCTACAGACCAGATGCGGGGCCCGTAGTGAACTGATTCACGATGCTCCAGTGGTCGTTGCTGTTCCTCACTCTGCTATGTCTCTCAGTTAAAGGTACTTATTATTAACTTTTTAGGATTCATTACACTGGGTAAATTAAGGACACGAGCAATGTAAGGACGTGAATTGACATGACAGTTACTGGCATACTAGCTATCAAGCAACTGGCATGTGGCAGTTGCATCCATAATAACTAACCTGTCTGGTATTAGCATGCAAGTAGTCACGATATTTGACTTACGAGGGGCGGACATATTACTCAATTAAGCAGTCGAGGGTTACAAAAGTGTCCTGCCCCTCCAGACAAAGCTACTTTCGATTAGCAATGTCGCCTGTAGAATCGACAAAGTGTGTCAAAATATATGGTAATGAATGCGTTATTTATCAATTGTTATTTTCAGTTCCATAGATTTTTGACTTTTCGATCAGCGATGGCGATAATCAAATGTTACTTTGTCTAAAGGGGCTGATACTAACTCGAGTCGTACGATGTCGTGAACTATATTAGCATGTGTATACGCATTTCGTCAGTACCCTTCTTGTCAATTACTACTCCATTTTACTGTTTTCCAATAACTCCTTTATATATGAAAACTTCTACAAAATATTTAAAATAACAATATAATCATGTAATTAACTATGGCTTAATTTTCAGATATAACAGGCAGTTGGGAGGAATGGTGGACATATGATGGAATATCAGGTATGTTCGTAAATATTTAAAGTTAGAAATATAACATCTTCGCACGAATGGGTTGACTCGTCCGGTGAAATAAGACCACACAGAAGACAGGCGTGAAGTGGAAGCAATTCCGCGTTTCTTCTGATGAGTGTGGTACCGGTAGCCCAACTTCAGTCTCTTCTTCTTCCCACCCTTTTTCTTATACGAAAAGGATGGGAAGGGAACGTGGATTTGACGGTGCAGGAGACGCGTAGGAAGGGGTAATAACCTCTTTATATGCGTCTCCTCCTCCGTCGATCAAGGGTAGGCAACGCATTCGCTATTGCGAATAACTATGGGCAGCGGTCGCTTCGCCATTTTGGCGGATTCAGGTAGCCGCTTGCTCGTTTGCCACCTTAGGATATAAAAAAATGTACTTAACAACTATTCTCAAAATAAGCCCTCCAAAAAGATATCTTATTATATCGATAATATGTTTTTATCCGTCACTCGAAAGTAGAGCGTGCGCCACATATCCGGGTAATGATACCGGGTAATGATCGTAGATACAATCTTAATGATAGTGCGCGCTCACTTGTGTCATTACATTGTAGTCTACGATCCGACCGTACTTAGCTATCTATTTTCGGTTCTCCGACTTCCCTTTAACATGTTAGATATTCTTACATGAATACAATAAAATGAAGATCATAGGCAAAGAGACAATTTACATAAAAAGTTCCCTATTTAATGAGGTAAATAAATAATCTGTAGAGCACTGACTTATGGAGTTTTATTTAATATTGTAATTTTTTCGAAGTGGTCTCAAACTTTTGGCCGGCAGTGTATAGTTTATAAAACACAATTGACAATTATTTTGAAACAAACATGTTGTTTTTGTTTTTGTGATTTTACATGAAAACTGTTTTAAGACTATTCTGAGCTGTCATATTTAACACTAGCTTTTCCCGCGAATTCGTCCGCGTTAAATTTAATAAGGATGATAAAGAAATGAAAAAATGTAGTCTATGGTACTCACAGATAAATTACCATTCTAACGGTGTAAGAATTTTTTAAATCGGCCCAGTAGTTTTTGAGCCTATTTATTACAAACAAAGAAAGTTTTCCTCTTCATAATATTAGTATAGACTATTAACGCAAAATTATATTGCATTTATTTAATACACGAAAACATAACATAACATAACATAAATTTATTAACAGCAATATTTTCTAACTTAAATGATTAAGCCGTATTTTAATAACAAAGGATACAAATTGTCAATTGAAATAAAAACAGTAGGTAAATAATCAAAAATCACAAATAAAAAAATCTTTGGCATCTTGTATTTGTTACTCTATGACGTAAGGATAACTTACGATACAAATATAGTGTACAATTTACATAAAATTTTAATGTTAAGGGACATAGGCTACGTCTCACCGGACGTGATTACATCATAATGTAACATTACTCACGAACCAGTGCACTGCGATGACCAAATTTTGCGGCGTCCCGAATTTCTATTCAATTCTACGGAACTATTTAATGGCAATGAATAGGGCGCTTTATGTTTGAGTAACGTTATGTGTAATGAATTTTGATTCGTCATTGTGTTCTTGTTAATCTAAATAAGGGAGATTACACATAGGTCGTATACTCATAAAGCATAACACACACACTCTTGTGTGTATCTTATCCTTAACTTTATGTAATACTTAAGAAGTATTTTAGTGTAGTTTCTTCATGCTAAATCTATTCCCAGGGATAAACGACTTAGAAATCGGCAGCTAGTTATAAATATGTGAAGTTAATGACTGTTTTCCACCACAGGTCCAGGATTCTGGGGGCTGATTAACCCGCAATGGAGCATGTGCAACAAGGGGCGCCGCCAAAGCCCCGTCAATGTCGAGCCAGAGAAGCTACTCTTTGACCCCTGGCTGAGGGACATACAATTCGACAAGCACAAGGTATACCATGACTGATAGTAGGTCCCTATCAGCCTTTGTTCAACTTGGCTTGGCGTTCATCATCATCATCAGCCTTTGTCTACCTTCACCTATTAACAGAATGCGGCCCCAGCCTTTCGCATCTGACATCTTTCCGATCGTTCAATCGAGTTCCGATAATGCATTATCTCCCCATCTTTTCTAGCATGGTTAGCAGTGGTTATAGGCATGTTATGAGGAGGGCTGAATCGAATGTTACAAGGAGAACGTTAGTTTGAATGTGGAAGGGCACACCGGTAGAGGTAGACCTAGAAAAAGATGGATTGTTTGTGTGAAAGGAGAGACTATTGAAAAGGGAGTGATGACTGAGACGACGTATGGTCGTGCCGACCCTACAGGAGTAGGATAAGGGATGAAGTGATAAATGATTATCTTCCCTTCTTGTTTACTCTTTTATTTTAAATGAGTGGGAATGATTTGCATCTGGCCTCCGGCAATAGAAACTATTGCTAACTAATTACAAAACAGTTTATTTATAGATCATCTCGCATACTATCACATTGTTTATTCATATTTGAATCATTCCCATTCCCGTTGATACACGCGATACGAAACAAATTAAAATTTAAATTTTCACACGCGTCGGTTTGAAAATCTGTGTAAAGCCGGCAAAATGTGCGAATTAACATTGCTACAGGCGTGTAATCCCGCGCTAAAACATGCTAAGCTAGCCGTGATAGACGCGTTTACTCTCATTGAAAGAGACGCGACTCGAGTTTTATTTAAATGGTTGGGAAAGATTTCAATAACAGTATTTTTAATTACCACCTTGCAAATGTTTGTAAGTAGCTAAGACCTGAGTTTAATTTTAAAATGTTCACTGAAGTATTTAAAAGCACTTGATTTTTTAAATAACAAAATATACGGTATTTAAAACTTGATTAAATCGTAAGAAATTTTCTGTTGGAATCTAATGGATTTTAAAACTAAAAAAAGTTACATTTAAAAAGACAGAAAAATCCTTGCAATGTTCGCGTAGTTTAGCTTTAAAGCAATATTTTCTTATTCCATCTTTTCAAATAAATTATCGAAAAAGTGCAAAAAATTTAACAGTATTAATCTACGACAAGCTTTTGCACAGGACTCCGTCTGCGCCGAAATAAAAACATTTGTAAGTAGCTTATACTTTCTTCCAGACATTTTTACCAAAATTATATCCAGATCCATTAAGCCGTTCTGGAAATACCTTTTACCATACATCCATCTAAACTTCCGCATTTATTTTATTAGTAAGAAGTAATATTTACTATAAGGTAATAGTTTAGATTTCTTGAATGTACGGTTCCTTTATTTAAAATCAACGTATCACCTTACCAAACACGCAGCCCAATGAATATTCCAAGTGGGTCCGTGCGTAATTATTCATTTAGACTGAATTACAGTCCGGTAATGTCATGGTAATGTATGCGAAGCGATAGACTATCACCGGCGACTATCGCAAACTTTTTGCAACATACATTGCCGGTCCCGTTCTAGACTGGAGTGAGGGTGCTTTAGTTTTTGCCGCATTACACTACGCTTTGTCCTTTGCAATTCTAATTACATTACCAAATTGACCGTGTAATATTCCACTTGACCTCGTAAGATAAGGATAGATTTAATATTGTGGCTGTATAAGTAAATTTATTAAACGATATTATTCTAATTACAAAAATACATCGAGTTTTGGCAATAAACACTGGCAATTTAGGAAACTTTGACTAGTAATAATAGATGGCGTTAATATCTATTTTTATGATCGATATCTTACACTGTTTTTTTTTTAATTTCAACCTTTTTTTACATCATTTATTTATTAAGTCCATGTTTTTTCTCTGCAATTTTTCATTTCATTATTTATGATTATTAATAGTTAAACTTTACTTTTTCTTGTTTGTATTTTTTGTTCAAACGTATGTGTACCTCGCAGTGTGTTTTTGAGCTGATTAAATGTTTATTATTGGTTTCTTTTTAAAATTTCTATTATCAAAATTGTATGTATAAAAATTTCCCTTGTTCCATTCGCGTGTGTAGCGGTAATCCGTCATCTGTACTCAAAGCGCAGTAAGTTTCAAGGTTGTAATCAAGGTGGGCCCATTGATTGATAGGATCGCCTCGCAGCGGGGAAACCACTCGTTTCACACCCTGATTCATTCCATGTTACACGCCTTAATCTATTTTGATCAACGTTAAAAATCTGTTGAATCTATTACAGGATAACACGCACAATACAAGGAATAGATTTCTAATTAATTATTCTATATTTACGATCAGAATTTAAGAGACTTCATACTGTTTCATCGATACATAAATAAATTAAAATCAGTAAGAATCGATTAATAAGATATTGTGGAACAAAACCGCACCATACAAACAAATCCACGTTGGCTTTAAAATCGTTTTTTTTACAAATAAACCATTTTTGACTATAATATATAAAGCGTAAGGTTTCTTATTTATACGACTTTTGTACAAAGTGTAATCTAGTTGGTCTTGTGCAGGTGAGTGGTGTTCTCCAAAACACGGGCCAGTCTTTAGTGTTCCGTGTCGACAAGGACTCCAAACACCAGGTGAACATAAGTGGGGGCCCGCTTTCCTATCGCTACCAGTTCGAGGAGATCTACTTCCACTACGGCCTTGAGGATCATCGTGGATCAGAGCATCAGATAGACCATCATACGTTTCCTGGAGAGGTGCGTTTATATAATAGTTTTTTTTACATTTTTAATTCATCACACATTGCGTTGCATCTTTTAACACGTTTTACAAACAAAATAAAATGCAAAATAACTTTGAAATAAATAAACATTTTTGAAAACCAGATGAAATTTAAAAATAATTACAACAAAAAGTCTTAACTTAAATAAATTAACTATTAACAAAAGATCTATGAAAGTTTATTTTTAATTACCACAACAAATTACTTAGTTTCCTCTTCAGGGAAACCTTACTGATCGCTGTTGTAAAATTTGTAATACATTTATGAACTAAAATTATTAGCAAATACTTTCTTTGGGACAGTTAAGAAATACAGCTTTCGTAGTGTAAACTTTGCATAAAGCTTTAACTTTTCTTAGTGAGTATAAATATCTTATTATAGATCCAGTGAATTTCCATCAAAATTATTATTAAACAATTAATTAAACCTGACCACAACAATGTGAACAATGCAGACAGTCTGGCGATCTCGCTAACTATGCCGCCTCGCTCGCAATCCGCACTCGCCTGATAACATCTTACATTTTAAATGTATTTAAAATTATGCATTCAACACTATTCACATAGAAATTTATTTACTTTATCTACTCTTTAAAATATATCTTTTCTAGTTTGTTACCATGTTATCTATACTTTTTGTATCTTGTATTTTATACATATTGAAATGACTCGAAAACTACTCGGTCGATTTTAATAATTCTTTTACTATTAAAAAGCTACATTATCGTTGAGTAACAATATCTTAAAGTTCACGTCGACGAAGTCGCGAGCAGCAGCTATGTTAATTTAGAAGATTAAAATTATATTCTTAGTTAATAAGCTGATAATTAATTTCGGAATATTTCGTCCCAATACGATTGTATTAAGAATTATGATTTTTAACATTAAATACACGTTAAAAGTAAAATTTCTATTGATAAAAATTCATCCTTTATTACTTTTACCTTCTCGTTATTTCTTAAACATTATATTATATTAGAGTCACAAAGTTTCTTACAATCTCCTACATTACAAATTAACACCTCAAAGTTCTTGTCATTATCGGGAAAGTCGTTATTAGTCCCTCGAGAAATAAACTTTCCAACTTTAGCTATTTTAACCTCTTCTGTTTGGATACGATTGTTCAATGGTTAACATTGGAAGTCGACGTTTGTAGCAATTATTTCAATAGGGCTCTTTGTATTATGCATGTTTTGTATAATTTGAATTCGTTTTGTTTAAAATATCTTAATTTTAAATACAAATACATTATACTATTTCTTATTTTTGAATAATAATACATTATATTTCTTTCTTGTTCTTTGACAACTTTCTTTAATGATGTACCTTGTGATACGAAACCAATCCAATTAGTTAATTATTAGCAAACAATTGTTGCGGCGTTTGCGGTTTCTTAATTTATCTTAATTGGGTTATTCCAGTAAATGACAGTGCAATTGTCTTAAAATAACACTGTATTCTCGTCTCCTTTTACCTTATTCTTCTTTTGTTTTATATCATTCTTAACTATAGGTTTTCAAATCGAAATACTTTATTTTAAACACACTATCGTTTCTGTTATAAAGACAATAAAAGATTTTAACAAAAGGGTTTAAAAAGTGTCATTTATTAATAAGAAACCTTATATAGGCGTGAAGACTTATTTCAGATCAATTAGTTAGTTAGTTAATCTCACGAAAGTTTGAAGAACATTTTTTTTTCTTTTAGATTCAACTTTATGGATTCAACAAGGAGCTATATCATAACATGTCCGAAGCCCAACACAAGTCGCAAGGAGTAGTTGGAATATCGCTTATGGTTCAAGTAAGTATTAAAATTGTAATAGGTTTAAAGCAGCCTAGCATCTATTTATCCCTCAGTTTTTATTGTCTAATAGCCGTTTTCCACGATTAATAAATACGCAGTATTAAAAAAATACGAAAACACAAGAAACTACGTAATCGCCGGAAACCTGACGTTTTTCGGGATTAAAAGTGTTAATCCAGACTTTATTTTATATCTATGCCAAAACATGTATTTGATTCTGGTCGTTTCTTCTCTTCAAAGTGTTGAAAATTTTTTTATTAAATAAAAGCTTTAATATTTGTAATGTGTTACAGATCGGCGAGCCAATAAACAAAGACCTAAGATTGATTACAAGCGCCTTCAGTAATGTACGATTCAGAGGTAAGAAAACATAGCTAATTTATAGTTTTTGTTCACATAAATTATTTATATGTAAACGGTACTTTTAGAACCACTCATATTTTCTTTAGGAATATCTTGTTTGAAATGCAGAATGCAAATTCAATGTGCATTAATGCATATTTCAGTAAATAAATCAAATCAAAGAGTGCACTGGACCAAAACTACGTCCCGGACTCCCGAGAATCTACGTATTTCTAGCTTTATCATATCAAGTGAAAATAAATATACGTTGGATGGTAATTAATTAAAACTCACATATTCCATAAAACCTTAACAGATATTTTTCTTAAATAAAAAGTTCTTTACAAATTAATATCAGTGCACCGTAACAAGAAATAACGTCTCAAAAGACGAAATTCAACAATTTTAATATAAATCAACTGTTCGCTAAAAATACTTACATAGATAATATATTCTACTAGCTTTCGCCCGCTACTCTGTTCGCGTGAAATTGTAAAAAACAAAAGTAAGTAGCATATATATTCTTCCAGACTATCCTGTAAATCTATGTCAAATTTCATCGAGATCCGTTTAGTAGTTTAGGCTACAAACTCTAACAAACATCCATCAATCCATTTAAACATTCGCATTTATAATATTAGTAAGATTTATCAAAGAAAATAATTAAATTACGGTTTTGTATCTTTTTGGTTTGACTATATCGTATGTTTTGAGTGTCTTCATTTGTTTAGGAAGCTCGTTCCCTATCAAGCATTTGCCGCTCAGTTCTCTACTGCCTGACACTCAGCAGTACCTCACTTATGAAGGCTCTACCACACACCCTGGCTGCTGGGAGACGGCTGTCTGGATAATATTCAACAAACCGATTTATATTTCTAAACAAGAAGTAAGTTGACTCCATAATGCTGATCCTAAGAGAAATTCTAACTAATGTATGGTATTACTCAAATGAAACGTATATTAATCTATACTATTATAAAGAGGATAGATTTGTATTTATGTATGTATTTCAAAAACTAAACAATTAGATAAAAAGATAAAATAAGATAAAAAGATAAATTGCCTTTCTAACACCGTTAGAAAGGCAATTTATCTGTGAGTAATATAGGTAATTTTTTTTTAATTACATGCAAGCAAAGACGCGGGCAACTAGTAAAATAACAATAATAACAACTGCCACACCTACTGTCATACACAGAGTTGCTTGCATCTTACTGTTGTTTTAGTAAAGAAATGAACATTAAAAAGCTAAAGTAACTATTAACAACTATAAATTCGTCACATATTAGTGAATGGAAACAGTCCATATAATAAAATTCTATAACTTTACTAAAAATTTCCTCAGTAATCTAAACTGTCAACAGATGTACGCCATCCGTCGTCTAATGCAAGGCTCCCAGATATCACCAAAGGCTCCGCTAGGCAACAACGCGCGTCCTGTACAGCCTCTACACCATCGCACTGTCAGGACCAACATTAACTTCAACAAACAAGGAGTACCCGTAAGTAAAAATTAATATAACAATAAAACTATATAATCAAGAGAGAAAAGTGATAAGTTTCTAATGCGTGTTACTTTTGACATCGTCTCTTTTTGATTGGGTTTGTGACCAAGGACAGTTTTGTTTCCAACAAAAAAATCATGCCGTTGAATATGTAGCACAGAATGTGACGTCATTACTTTGAGTACTACTTGCAACGTAAGAGATTTAGAAACGAGTAATAGAGTGGCAATTAATATTTTGTTTTACATAATTTGCTTATAAATATATTTTAAATAAACAATTTGGATGGATGTTTGTTAGAGTTTGACGTCCAAATTGCGTAGAGCATAAGTCTACTTACTTTTAATTCCACGCGGACGGAGTCACTGGCGAAAGCTATACTAATATAAATGCATACGTTAATTAGTGATAAACAAGTTTATAAAGTTTCAAGTAAATATCGTTAGGTAGAGCGGAAAGCACTGAAGTTTATACTTACAGGATGCACTTTCATAAATTTACCGCTTTTAGTTTTTGAGCCGTTCATTTTAAAGATAAGCGTTGGACATTAAACTGGGTGCAGCAAGATATTTATATTGCACAGCCGACGTTCACTGGCTTTTAGAAATTTGCTTAAATATTAACATGTTTTTAATTTCAACGTAGTAAAAGTCTTCTTAGATGAAATTTTCGAAAATTCGTGCACTCTGATAGAATAAGGAAATACTTACATAACATTTCAACACTGAAAACTCTATACTAAAAGGGGAAATGTTTCATCAATTCGTGAATTTATCGCGCATGCTTTTAATTTATTTTGTCACCTTGAATTATAAAAAAAAACTTGAGACTCCAAAGTCATAAATATATTTTATCAAATAGCTCTTGCTCGCGACTTCGTCCACGTGAAATTAGATAATTTTTAACCTATGTTACTCGCCGATAACGTAGCTTTTTAATGGTAAAAGAATTTTTGAAATAGGCCCAGTAGTTTTAGAGTTCTTTCAATACATACAAAAATACAAATCTTACCTCTTCATCGTTAGTAAAGATGGCACATTTAATACTCAATTCATCTTAAAACCCATCCAAGTTACGGCTGCTTAAACAAGATTAAACGTGATGTCGTTGCAGTTGCATCGAGGCACGATAAATCGCTACCGGATCTTAGTGTCCACTAGGCTTGCATAGACAAGCTGTTAGATTATTTATTTACACAACACCTCCATTAGCTAAATTAATGCTAACCGAGCTATGCGGTCTAAAGACTAAGCGACTGAACGACAAACTATATATATACAGTGATGGTAACAAAGACAACACATATTATAAATGAACGTTTAGATGGATGGATATTTATTACTATGTATCTCTAGAATTGAAGAACGGATCTCGCTGAAATTCGAAAAAGATATAGAATATACGAGTACTCTGCGTGAACACACTAGCTACTAATTTTCTTTTTATTCCGCACAGACATAGTCGCGGACCACAGCTAGTTATCTTATTATGATGTAATAAAAGCTTCAGGACATTTACAATGAAATATACCATACCAACTTTTTTAAACTTCGCTTTATAATTTTCATATTAATCCGTATTAATATTTATCAGTAAACAAATACATTAGAAGTACTATTTAAATAACTTTAAAACGCTATTGCATGTGTAAATATTAATGGACAAACTAAAAATGTGTAATAAAATCTTTCAGGTTCAGATTTAACTGTTAATATTTTTAATTTCAACAGGTATCGAGCAATTGTCCTGACATGTACCGAAATATGCACTACACTGGTAAAATTATATTTTAATTATTTGCACTGAATTAGAAACATGCATGTAAATGACTTTTGCATTCCTTAGCAGTTTCTTACAATAGCGTTATATTTATTAAGAAACTATTAATGTTCCTGTTTTCTACTAGACATATATTTCTGGCCCCTGAATAAAAGACTGAGAACATCTGACTACAAATGCTATTCCGCCAACTTTGCTGTTCTTAAACTGTAGGCGCCTAACATCAGAGGGCTTATTTACGAATTGTCGTCAGAATGTGTTCGTAACGTCCTCGACAAAATTTATATTGGTAAAGTGCACCAATATATCACACGAATTTTATCGATGGCGTTATTGACACGTTCTCGTAACTGACATGCAAATTTTTGTCGTAGACCCTCTGGTATCATTTAAGAATCTCTAGTGAAAAAACTCTACACAAAGTTCTATCTTTAAAGTCCATTGAAAGTTTCAAATTATACATGTAATAATACTAAACTAAGTTTAATGTAATTTCAGCACGTTTTTCTCGCAAGGCACGTTCGAAAAAAAGTCTTGCATGCAATCGAAAGAATATTACAAAGAAATGTCACAAAAAATAGGTATAGTTTGTTGCACAAGTTTCTTCTTCTATCGCTTTCAGTATTTATATATGATACTTTTAACTGTAAGCTGTTTCTTACAATTTTTTAATGTGGTATTTGCTATTATTTTTGGCAAGGCTTTACAATTTAAATATAGCAGCTGTCATATGTATGTTTGTGTAAGTGCGCTTTGTTTTATTGTTATGTTAGTTGTAGTATTTGTTTAGTATTTCATTATATTGAAAACATTAAACAAATTAGCATTATATATTAGTTTATAGTGTTTTCTAAATTAAATAAGAATATCGATAAAAGTGATGACTAGTAAGCGTTGTGGTGAACATACACGTATAAAAACATTTGAACACACTAAAAATTGAAGAGATATCTTCATTTCATATTGAATGGTCATAGATTTGTTTAATGGTTAACTAGTCTGTATTTTTTCAGCAACACAATGGCCTCGTGAACACAGCATGCGATATCGAAGCGCCGATGATATGTCTATGTTATCACTTACTTAAACTTGTAACTTTGATAAGTTAATTATCTATTCTTTATATTGGTATTTGTAAATTTATATTTCACGTCTTAAATTTATATTGAATCGGTTTTTTAAATTAAATTCTTGGATTCATTGTTTTTTTAGAAATATGCTTTAAGTTACTTGAGACTTTTTTTAATTTTTAATCGTAACAAAATGTATAATCTAACCAAAGGTAGCGAGTTACTTTAGATTTATATTTAGATGTGCTTTCCTTTATAGTGTTTATAAACCGTCAATTGTGTAGACAATATCTCCCTTGATATAATCTTTTTAAGCAAAATAATTATAAGCTTATACAAACATATTTGATATAAAAAAAATCTTCGCTAAAATGATACATGTACTAATAGAAGCATAGATGTAAATTTGTATATAAACATTAAAAATATTTAAACGGAATATCGTAATACGTCCACGGTGTTATTATATACCGATATATTAAATTAAACAAAGCAATTGCAAAAGCTATACTTATATATTGCTATACTTTTTTGCTAAGAAGTAATGTTTAGTTAAGGCACAAATATATCAACAGCGAAGCGGCGGCGAGCGATATTTTATCATAATAGTAAAACATGCAATTTTAAGATATGATATTACCTTACGCGTTTGTGTGAATCAAGCTTTTATGATTAATTCAATAATACTATGTAATTGTTGGCTTGGATAAAACTTAATTATATCTCCATAACGCATACCTAAGTGTATTAAATGTAACTCGTTGATATTATTTAAAAAGAAAGCTTTTGTTATCCAAAATAAAGCACATTACGATTTAGTCAAAAAGTTGATATAATATGTTTAATTAATATTTATCTAAATTCCATATAGGATTACAAATGTCTATATAATATAAAGTGTATGTAAAAAAACCTTATGATTAGAGAATTAAATATACCAATGATGTAGTACTTTATTTGCTTAAAATGTTATTTTAACGTCATTTAAAAATATAATTTCATGGCGTGTATTTTCCATATTGTAAAACGTAATATTAGATGTTGTTATAACCGTATGTTTATATAGTTAAGTATTTATATAGCGATTACGTATGTTATCATAAAATATAAAAGTTTTCAAATATAGCATTGTTAACGTAACTGTAATGTACCTAAGGAATTTAACATTTTAGATTAGACGCCAATGTTATAATAAATAATAAATAAAGCATTAATCATAGAAATATGCATTTTTATTTTTACTATCCGATCTTACATAAAAGATAAAATGCTACGAAACTTCCGCTTGCTACAAATAAGTAGCATATTGCGTAGGCGTATGCTACGGCGTAGATCTCCACGTGCAAGGAAGTGCTACCTCCGGCGGAAACCGGGGTCGCTACTGCGCCACCGTCGGACACATCCGGTGTCACTTCCTCCTGGGTAGGCTGTGTTTAAAACTTTCCCACTTTCTTGTTTTATTGCTTATCTAGCACACATAACTCTGCAACTTTGTCACGGTGATACCTCGATTTTGCATAATACATAGCGTAAATACATTTAAGTATATTTAGCTTTAAAAGTGTAAAAGTATTTTTAACAAGAAAATAGATACCATAATAGTGTAAAAAACAATTTAGGAGTAATTAAATAAATATAAAAGATATAAACCATTAGAATATATCTTAGTATGTTACTAATGTTCCTTTGAAAGCTCTCCGTAACAGGAAATTCCGCAGGAGGAAGTGGCCGGCGGCCATGTTGTCTGCGGTTCAACTTCCGTTTCCGTAACAGCCGGTTGTCTTTCTTGAAAGTTTCAGCTTTCAGCTACTTATGAACACTGAAACATTTTTCTTCTAAACATAAAAGCCTTGCGAAATATAAACGCAAATATTCACTTTGTCACAATTCGTACAGACTGCAGCAATAAATCGTTTTAATACAAAATATACAAAATAAGAAAGTACAAAAAAGATTATGTTCTGATTTAAACAACTTTGAAATTTAAATTGTTTAATTGTTCCTTTCATCGATTAGTTCAGTAAAGTTCGAAAAAAAAATGTGATCATTTTGAAGAGAAGTTCCACAACAAATCGTCTGTGATCTTAAAATATCAAGACCGATACGAAATTCTAAAAATGTCTATAATTTAATCTCGTTTCAGCGAGGAAGTAATAAAGTAGCGTTAGCAAAATAGATATTTCTTGAGTAAAAAATTATAGGTCAAATACGTATTTCATTTACAAGAAAGCGAAAAACGGGGTTACAAATTTATACAATATTAATCCCTAGTGCTGTATTCCACTCTTAGTCAGAGCAATAAGCACATGATTTCCCTTAAATTATTTGATAATCGACTAAACGTACAAACACATTTTTATTGTTTTATTTTCTCATAGACAATGAAATAGACAATATTTTTTACACATATTTCGGAAATCTAAACTCATAGTTAGTATATTAAAAAAAAGTCGATCTTATTTTCCAACGCTACATTCCCCGTCAGGAACTAAGTTAGTGTTCATTGACAGCGTAATGCACGGCGCGCACCACTTGCTCCCAAACAACTCACTTTGTACCGAAGTAGCGATCGCGTACCTTCTACAATATGAAGCCTGATATACAACGAAGCCTATAAAGTGTATTCTGTGAAGGTACTTTATATTCTGTGGAGTACGTCACTAAAATTGGTACTATTATTTTTAAATAGTTACAACGTAATACAGAAATAACTAGACAAAAGAATTATAGTTGTAGTCCAACGATATAAAAACATAATATTACGAAGATCTTAAAGGGACAAGTTCAAAGTTACTTACATGAATATATATGTTTTCCATGATACAAAAAACCCCGCATTAAATTACGGTAGACATTTACATTACAAACCACATACTACTACTCAGGTATAATTCTTGTCAAGCCCACATACGTTCAGTTCTGACAGCTGAACTGTTCAGTCAGGCTTAATCCAGGTTATCTCAAGATTAAACCATCACATTAATTTAATAAACCGTTATCTCTAACCTTAACTACCCTATGGTTACCATCGTATCCCTAGCTATACAGTCGCATTAAGAAACCGCGATCCCAAGTCTTAGCTCATTGCGTCGTCTCGCCGCATACTCCACTAATTAGGTGTTAAATCACTGGCAACGACTGAGCCCAGACGTAACAGTGGGAACAACGACTCTCAGCTAACAGTGATTTACACTTGTGAATACTCTGCACCAGTTTAGGGAGACATTTTGGAGTTAGAAACATTTTGCTTGTAACTAAATCTCACTAGATTATTGTTTCATTTTTACAGAAGCTTTGTAACATATTTTATGTCATTTAGTAATTGAAAAGGCCGTATGGTTTATCCCGTTTGTTGGTAATAATCTGTTAATGTAACTATTAATAATTTTTTCTAAGATAATGCCTATCTAAAAACATTGTTAATTATAAAATAGGCTACCAGTACGTAAATTCAAGTCAATTCTGTTTGTGGATAATCTTGAATACACTTATTGTATTCTTCTACACTTATTACGTTATGGGATACTAGCTTTCCCCCGCAACTCCATCCGCGTTGTATTAAAAAAAAAGTGATTAGCCTATGTGTTCTACCAGACTAACCTTTACATTTATAACAAATTTCAAGAATTTCATTTATAAGAAATCCGTTCAGACGTTTATACTACAAACTCTAACAAACATTCATCTAAACTTTTGCATGTAAAATATTAGTAAGACTATTCTTTGTAAGTTAAATTAAAATTGAAATCCGCTTTAATCGTTTACTATAGTCAGGGTGTTAGTCCGGGCCGCGGTCGTGCGCCGACCAAATGGAATTGAAGCTGTGACAATCCAGTTTGCGGCGTGCAATTTTTCTTTTACACCCAACTCAAATTGATTGAGTCCATCCGCAATTTACTGACGCTTTGCGAGAAAATCTGCCTTATTTTTCGTTTACTTTATGCTACGGTTTTAACATTTATTTGTTGGATGAGGCATTACCTTAATTAAGAGTATTGTACAATTAGATTTTGTTTTATTATTTAACCTAAATTAATGTGGATACTCAAGTTTTTAGTATTTTATTTGAAAGTCAAAAAACACAAGATTTTCTTTAAAAAAAACAGAAGGGGAAAAGCTAAGATCATAACATACGAGTATATTACCAATCATTTACTAAAACGTTGTGAAGAAAGAATTAAAAAAATCGCTTAAGATAAAATCCCTGTACTTCATCGTAATTTTTTTCCACAATAGCAGTCCGGACCCACAAGTGATGTCAGATTTGGATTAGACAAGAGAACAAGACGGAGGTAAAGAAAACAATTAGAACTGACATAGAGAGCCGCTATTAAGTACAGAACACAAACGTATCTGAGGCAGTAATGGCGAGTACTTCAAACAGTGAGGGGATTCAAAGAAATCATTATTCCACGAGCTTCCTCGCGCGACCACTTGGAAAAATAGTGTTGGGCGTCGATATATCGATATGTTCCTAAAGCGATTAATCATATTCCAAAAACATTGTTTTTATTTTACTTACAATGTGCTGTTTGTTTACTACATGAAATAATATTAAATGAAATAATTAAAATTAATCAATTACATATATTTAATTGTTTTTTTTTAAATGTACATTTTAGTTGCTACAAAATATTCTTCTTACATTTTATTTTCTAACATTTTCAAAACATTTGTTTTCATTATGGTTTGAATGATACTAAAATATTTTTAATACATGCTTTTTTTCTTGTAGCTACAATAATCATCGAAATTTGATTGTTTAGAAACGAATTATCGATATTTATTTGTCCACCCCTATTCCAGGTATGCGCTTCTTTGCTCGGTAACGAAGTTAATCTGTGCTCAAGTGTCGACAATTTGAGGCGTAACAACAGAAAATAAGCAAGACTTAACCGCCTTATGTTTCGCTTATTCCACAATACAAATGGACTTAGACTCCGTATAATGATCCCGCTTTGTTTATGCCTTTCTAAAACGTATTTTAAACATCGCTTACTATTTTCTCTTGCTATTTATATTAAGTAGATGAGGGAAATATCGGCTTTTGAAAGAAAATCTTAGACTAAGTAATCTGAGATGTTCAATGCCAGTAAACTTTCTTTTTGAATTAACTTTAGTATTCATATTAAAATATAGTAAAGAGCTCTCGTCTAAAATTATTTTATGAATGTCAAATATTTTATCTATTAATTTTACTTACTAGCAGGATAAAATATTTGTAAGACAAAACAGCAATACGTAGCATATGTACCATTATTCAATTTCAAAGAAAGTATTTTAGCTATAAATTTACACTTGAATATGAAAATACATTTTCCGCGACAGTCGGTTAAATTCGAGACTTTATTACGTGAAATTAAACACATAAATTACAACAGTATACGCCCACCGAAAAAGTTTTTACTGTATTAGTTTGCGATATGTAAAGTTCAACAGCAGACTATGTTCTAAGGCGCGGCCTGACTATAGTTTGTCTAAATAAGATAGATTAGTTTGATAAATGACCCATATGAAGTATCGAATTCAATTTGTATGAAGGCAAATGCTATACTTAATAGACAGGTATTATAGTGATGAAACATACACACATAGTGAACAATTTTGAACTATCGATATTCGGTTTAAATAATTATCAAACTGAACTAAAATTATCATTTTCTTATTTACTTAGAGGACTATTCTAATATTGATTATATGTAGATTTAGCGATGACAGAAATAATAGCGAAATCCAATTCGATTTCGTAAGGCTGTAGTAGTAAAAAATATTTATTTACTCTCATTATTTGTTATGGTCATTATTAATTTGAGAAAACAGTGTTTTTCTTTTATTTCATAAGTTATAACTATAAATCTATGGATTCCAACTGCTATAAGAATAAAAATCGAAAATCGATAAGATTCCTGACTATCTGTGTAATCACAAGCCATCCCTACTAAATTTGAAATGAATTGTCAAACTAATCTAAATTATTTAGACACACTATAACGTAACTCAATGTAACATTTCCATCGAAAGGCTTCTTGCTCGATGGTTTTCACTACGTGCCAACTGCATTAATGCTCACCATGTAACATGTTACATTACTCCGCGTAACAGTACGCCTTTACATGTCGAATCTTATTTCCGATTGAAAATTATGAATATGAAGGTATCAAAAGGATAGAAATGTGGGATTAAACGGCTTGTTATTATCTCATGATTATCGAGAAGTTGTTTGTAAAACAGATAACGTGATAGTATGACTCTCGAGTAACAAAAGACATTCCACATGAGATATTTGTAAACTTCCTAAGGAACACATAAGTACTGTCCTGGGTACAGCTTTCCATAATAGTTTAGTATCACTTCTCTGTTTAGCACGAACGTTTGAAGATCCAAGTGATTGAATCAAGCCTTAATGAAGATCATTCGAAGTAAATCAAAAATGTGTCAAAGCAAACGATTAATTAAATTTTGCGATGTTATAATTATAAAAAATTGTGTCTACGTTACTTTTATAGTATTCATGATAACGATGTGTTTCTTTCTGAACATGATGATTAAAGAAAGCGAAGAAGTTTTCGGAGATCCCGTGATGAGATTACCAACGGACTTAAAATACATTCTCTTCTGGAGGAAAGATAAAGATTTAGTTAACGAAATTTATTCAAAGTATCGATATAAATTATCAGAAGGACAGACTTTATTTATCAATCAAAAGTGCAAATATATTAATTGTTATATAACTTACGATAAAAATTTACTTCGTCACAACCCTAAAAACTTTGATGCCGTAGTTTTTAATGTTAAAGAAATAGACAACGTCAAACAAAAATATCTAAACCTACCGAGATCTAATCACCAGCTATACATATTCAATTCTATGGATTCTGCTGAATTATTCCCCGTCTGTTTACCTGTTTATGATAATTTCTTTAACTTGACATGGACTTATAGATTAGATTCTGATATACCTAATGCATTTTTTGATATATATGATACGAATAAAACGTTAATAGGTCCGAAAAGTAAAATGGACTGGCTTGATAATATCAAACATACAAAGGAATATAGAAATATCACCCGCAAGAAGACGAAAGCAGTCGCTTGGATTGTAAATAAATGCAGATCAATAAAGAAGCATAACCAACTTATAATGGACCTTGTAGAAGAGCTGGCCGCTTACAATCATAGTCTTGATATTTTCGGTCATTGCGGTGCTACTAAATGTCCAAACAATGATACATTAAATTGTTATAAAATAATTGAAAGAGATTATTATTTTAACCTGGTGTTAGAAGATTCTGTAGCAACAGGACATATCACAGAGAGAATGGCGCTCGCCATGATGCACTATTCTATACCTCTTGTCGACGGTGGAAAGGAATACGAAAGGTACAGTCCATATATAAATATTTTATTAAAAATGTCTAGTAATAAATAAAGCCTTTTTTACTCAGTGCTAATGTAGCTTTCTGATAATAAAAGAATTTTTAAAATCACTCCAGTATTTTTAAGTTACTTGTACAATTTACTTTAAAGAAGGATCAAACATCTTGCTGTTAAAAATATTTTTGAAACCAAAAACTTACACAATTGTCTGGCCCTCGGTCAATGTATACATCGATGATTCCTACGTAAACTGCTGTAAGCGAAAAAAGTGATTTTTTCAAGAGAACACTTTTTAAGTATCGATACCACCTTTCTATTTAAAAATATCTTTCGACATTTCATTTTATCTATATATTAATTTTCAATAATTTGTTTCAGTTATCTACCTCCCGGTTCCTACATCAAAATTAGAAATCAAACTTTGAAAGAGTTGGGTGCTATTATAGACTACCTTATACGACATCCTGAAGTTTACGAATATTTCTTTGATTGGAAACAATATTATTCTTATAAAGTGAAACCTAAAGATAGTGTTTGTAACTTATGTGAGTATCTGAATACAAATAAAGCTAAACATAAGATTGGAGGTTTAAGAGTGTGGTGGAATCCCTTTTACTTTGTTGAATGTCATCAGAAGAAAATGTTTGATATGTTTAATATAAATTATGATTAGAGTTACAATTAAGGTTTTTTAAATTAGTTTTGATTGAATAAAGTATTTGAATATTTTTAATTTTGACCATTTTTTTGTCCTGCAAAAATTGTCGTGTGTGTACCACGGGCGTCGCAATGCGATGATTCAATCTGTTACATCTACAACCTGCCCAACCCTACTTTTACACTAATTGTGATTGCAAATAATTAATTAGTTGTCATCAAAGACTAGCTGTTGCTTGCGACTTCGCCCGTGTGATAACTGATAACGTAGCTTTATAATGGTGAACTCGGACCGTTTTTTATCTCAATACATACATACATACATCTCATACGAAATTACAAATGTTTCCACTTTATAATATAAGTATATATCTATATATGTAATTAATCACTTGTCACCGCATTCTAATTTAAATACAGTTGCTATTGTAATTTATTAAAGATATATTTGACTTTCTATAAAGGGGTGTCGATCGCCGAATAACATCTGTGATCGACGGATCTTGAAGCAGATTTATTGAATGCTTTTTATCTCATCTTCCTGTCAATTGAATAGGGACTCGTCTATCTTCGTTGTATAGAAAGTTACACTTGGATTTGAGTTTGTGTTTCATTGATTTTTTATAGCAATAGCTTGCTCATATATTCCCATACAGAAAACATTACCGATAACACCCGAATTCTGAATTAAAAATATGTAACTAATAAAACATATAGCTTATGATTCTTAGTGATAATGTAGCTTCCGATTGGCAAAAGAATTATTGAAACCAGTCTAATAATTTTTGAGTTTACTTATTACATACAAAAATACAAATTTTTCCATTCTACTTATAGTAGGTAATACCACTTGATTTCTAAAAGTACTAGTAATCTGATAATTTGTAATCGATATTTAGTTGCAAATAATCTAGCAACTAAAGGTAAATAAAATTATCATGAACAATTTAATAATATTTTTTTAAACGTTTAGAAACCAGGTTTATTTGTTTAGCACTAGTATTTTCTTATCTGATGACTAGTTACTTGGCATCTCATATAAATATTTATTTAATTTAATAGACATTAATCAACAATAATTAGTCATGATAAAATTATTTTCTATAGAATAATAATATTATTATTTATAAAGGTGTTTTATTTTATTACCCGCTTTGTGCCCTCTCACCAAAGTTTATTGACCTTTGTGAATCTATCATGGAATAGCACGTCGGGGATTTGATTCATTATTTAACTCTGTCAGCGGCGGTCCCACCATTATTCATTTTAAACTCGATTTTCAATGTTTGTTTTCGTATCGATTAAATGGCTACAAAGGTAGGGATAGACCGAAGAATGAAGGATGGATTGTGAAAGAGGAGGTAAAGAAGGAAGTGGATCAGATATGACGGATAATAAAAATATATGGAAGATCAGCACATAATGTTCCGACACTCAGTAGGGATAAGGCAATTTGATGATTTTTGTATCGTTTAAATAAATAAAAAGGAACTATAAACTTAGTTATTTCTAAGTTAAATCTGTCTCTTAGTACAAACTAATTAAGTGTATATTACCTTCGCAAGTAAATGGGTGCAATTTAAATAGTTTGCGAAGTTTAAACACCCGAAACTGCAGCACCAGGTGCGTGTTGGTCACAGTAAATGCTATTTATGTAGAACCCCTACTACGAAAACATACATGTATACTTGGTATTTTAAAGATTTGCTTTATTATTTTTTTAATTGTAAGGTATAATCTCTTATTTTTTATTTATAATTTTATATAGTTACACGCACTCATTAGTTAGGGATAATGGAAACATATCGCAAATGCAATCTTGTATTCGTAAAAAAGAATCGACTAAGAAATTTTGTATATCTCACTTCGTTCGAGTTAAGCAAATGGTAAGGGTTTTTAAAGAACATTGTACGGGTGCATCAGGTGCTTTGAGCTTCGTTAACACCAATCGACTTAGATATATCGCACGGCCTGCATCTGAATACAATTCCAACGGCTGATTGTGTGTACAGTTTACGTTTAATGGCTGTGAAAGCCTATTCGATTGCTATATGCTTGTATATCAATGTTAGTTCCATTAATAAATAGGTAATAAAAAGAAACGCATATTATTTAAATCTTCAGTCTGTTAAATGTGTTTCTAAATATTTATGACAAACTAGCTTTCGCCCGCGACTCCGTTAGTGTCAAATTGAAAAAACAAATGTGTTCTTCAAAATTATCCTCTACATTTATACCAAATTTCATCGAAATTCGTTCAGCCGTTTAGGCTACAAACTCTAACAAATATCATGATTCTACGTGTTATAAAATAATAAACTGTATTCTAGTTTTTATTTACTTAAGCGATTTATTCTTAATAATACAAACATTATTTAATCACTTATTGGTATCAGAATATTAGTCATGCGATAAATATGTCAAATCTGAGTTACCTTTTTAATAATTTTTTTAACATCATCAAATAATTACAACAAGAACCTAACTGTATATCTATGGTGGTAAAATGTAACGAAGTCGTTTAGGTGCTGACGGAACATAATTCAAATCACCGCCAGTTCAGTGGCACACTTTGCTCTCAATGGCACTGGAAGTGTCGTCGCGCCTCTTAGAATATTCATCAGGCAAGCTAGATTACATACCTAGTTACCTAGATGCTTGTCTAGTCTGTATTAAAATATATTAATGAGTTGATTGTACAATAAGTATTAGCGTGCGCACACCTTTTTTTTACGTGGGGAAAGGCCTAACGCATACCACCCCTGCAGGGACAAGGGAGGTTATGTCGGATTTGCGCCGACTTAAACTCCACGGTGGCCTCCAACTGCCATAATAAGGAACCGCGGGATCTCCAAATGGAACACTACCGCCGCCCCTAATGACGCTTTGCAATTAATAGTTGATCTCCTACCATAACTACCAGCCACTTCTCGGGGATGCACTAAGGAGACATCAGGGTCCTAAACCTGACCACCCGCAAGCGTGCGCACACCTGAGACTAAACTGTCGCCCACAGTTTAGCCTGGCTTTGATTCCTATGAGCTTGGATATATCCTATGAACTTAGATATATGGAGGTGCGCCACACTAGTTGATTTTAGTTGCGGATCAATAGATTGCACAATAGTTGTGCGATAGTTTAGTCAACGGTATACCTCCGCTTCAACAAAGATATGCCTTCGTAAAATTCATTCTGAAATAAAGGTAAACAAATATTTTCGACAGAATAGTTGTGTAGTATACAACCTTCCTCTAAAACTACGTTTGCACCGGAGAGCAAAATATTGTAAATAAGATGAAGTGGTATTTACCAACTCGATGCTGTGTTCACCCTCTGCAGATACCTGTCGGCGTCAATCGAGTCCCTGTCAAAAGTCTAGACGCGCCTGCAATCCAGCCCTACTGATGCACTTGAATACACCTTACTTTACACTTATCGACCGCATCCTTATCAGTCCGAACGTGAAACAGCAATAACAAGAGACCCTTTTCGCTAACAGACACGCCCGATGTGTCTTTCATGATGTCCGAAAACCACTTTCGATGACCTTCAAGCGCGGACTCTGGCAACATACTATCCCGCTCGCGCCCGACCATACTGGGGAAGAAATTTTAAAGTACCCTCTATAGTGAGAGAATTAAAATGAGTCGGGCTACCTACTTTATCCTGTATAGTAGGAACATGAATTAAAAATCTATAGTTCGGCACAGAATATGCCAAACCTATTGCATCTACTATATCAAATAAGAGTCTAGTCAAGAGTTATGAAGAAAAATAATGAAACTTAAATAATTATTTTTGATTCATATATATGATATATATTGATTTAACTCTATTGGTATATAAAATGCAGAAGTAGAAAGTTTATTTATTCAATAGTGACTCCATAGAGTTTATTTGCAATAGATTAAAATGCAAACAATGCAGTAACACAAAAGTAAATAGGGCAAGAGCGCATAAACATATTTGAAATATGCCAGGCTTGAGTAGTAAATTTCGTGCAGGAGTATAAGGCGAGTCGAGTGGCCCGCCCCAACTGGTTAGCATATCGCCGAGTTCGTCGCCTGCTGCTCGCATATTCAACAGCTCTTTGTTTCTGACCCTACTTATTCGCTCCTTCACTATGCAAATCAATTACGTCACTTGTTTGGCACACTTCGATTGGTTCGCAAATTCCATTTGATATTGTTACGTGTAGAGACTTAACAATCTAGATAAAGTAATGATATCATCATCTCCCAATCCTTTTTCCACTTACGTAGATACATCTACTTTTCTTCCTCCATATTCCATTTGTCGTCGCAGTCATTAATACCTTTTGATTTATCTTTCACACAATCCATCCGCCTCTTCCTTCGCCTACCTCTATTACTGTATTCCTCTACACTCATAAAGTTCTCCCATTAATAATTTCCTTTATCCTACTTAGGAATTGTTCTAATTAATTTATGAAGTTAGTGATTTCCTTCATCATCAACTTAGTCTTATCCCTTATGGTTGGTCGGAACAGTATCTGCTGCTCTTCCATACATTTCTATCTGAAACCACTCCTTTCTTAAGCATATCCTCTTTCACACAATCCATCCTTACTTTCTTTGGTCTTCCGCTTCCTTTGTAGCCATCCACATTCATTATTAACACTAACATAACATGCCCATACCACGCTAACCCTTTCCTTCTCAATTTCTCCACCACTGGCGCTACTTTCAAACTTCACTAACTTAAGGAAGTTAGTGATTTCCTTAGATAAACAATTTCTTAATAAAATTATCTTGTTATCAGATATTTTTTTATACTTTTGCTTTTATATACAACTATGAATATTCTTTCTATAATTGTAAAATACTATCAGTCTTTGGAATATTTAAGAAATGTCATTATTTGTTCGCAAACTGAAATGTTAAGCTCCAGACAATATGTAACCTTTAGAACAAAGAAAAGGGTAAAAATAAAAAGGTTAAAGTATACTTTGAATGAAAACATTTGTATATAAACCTTTATTATAAAGCAAGTTTATTAACATTTTAATCCTCTAATGATTCTAAGCGATACTTATTTTTTAAACCATAATAATAAGACTTAAGATCTGATTCTTTTAAACCAGCTCGTGTATGTACGGAGGGATCAGGATCTATGTTACAATTTTCATATTTAGATCCATAATACCACCAATGTCTGAAATTCCGAACAGCAGTCTTCCTCTTAAATATTCTCTTATTGTTAAGATTGCTGCATAAATCACAGATTCCTTCCAATTGTCTTGTACGTTTGATAACATAATGTTGCCTCCAGTTATGGAAACTGTTGTAAATGGATGGGTTTTCGACTATTTGTTCAATCGTTTCAGCTAATTTATGTACAGTTACATTTCGGGCTTTTACATATGATCCTTCTGGCAGAAATCTGAAAAAGAATGAAGTATTCAATCTATATCTACGAGTATACTAATATAATAAAACGTAAACTCTTCTCTGTTCATGATTCAGCAATCACAGTATGTTTTTTTTTTAAAAGCAAAATACAATTACCACATTCTATAAACTATATATTTACACGCTATTTAATTCAAAGGGTGAATACATTGGAAAATAATTCCCATGCGAGAAAGGAACAAAAGTTTTGTAGCTTTTTCCAATAGGAGTAAAGAACCAAGATTTCCATGGGTACGGTAATTGTTATCCAATGGCAAATCCCTTCGTTGTCATTTAAGCATTTGAGTTTTTTTTTATAAATAACGGGGCAAACGAGCAGCGAGAACACCGAAGTGGTCAACGAACGCCCATGGACATCCGCAACACCACAGGAACTACAGATGCGTTGACATTTGCATATTATTTTTCTGAATTTTAAAACAATATGATAAAATTTTTAATAAAATTACTAAAAATCAATATCTTACTAAAAACATTAACAAAATACTAATATTGAAGATATTGCTAATATTGAGAATATACTATTATTTATTGATCTTAAAAGCGTGAATAAAAATTTTTGAAATACAAAAGTTTTAATAAGTAATTATTATACTTACTTTTGGTAATCGGCGCCACCAATCATAATAGGAATAGCACCAGAATCATACGCCTTAATAACTTCAGCACTAACATAATCAACCGCAAAACTATCTTCATAAACTAAATAAAAATGGTATTTATTTTTAATTTCATTTAAACAATCTTCAGAACATTTCAGAAATTGACATCCAAATAAATCAAGGACAAGTGCTTTCCGATCTAAGATTGCTTTTAATCTCTTCGCGTATTCAATAGTCTCGTTTCTTTTCTGGCAATTATTAATAATACAAACCACATCTTTTTTAACACGTCCCATTTCGAAGGTATTCAATTTACTTGGCATTACATTATTAATCCATTTCACATTTTCTCTCGGTGCTACTATTTCGTTATTCATATTACGCACTTCGATCAAAGGTCTTAGTATATCGGAACTCAATTTATATGTCCATGTCCAGTTGAAATAATTTTCAGCGCATATATTACACATCGGAGCGGAATCTGAGGGTAGTTCGCTATAAAAAACAAATTTCTGTCTCGTTGATCTTCTATCTGGTATATTTTTTACATCCCACGATGTGAAAATACTCGCATTTAGTATAATTGCATCGAAATTTCTATAATCACCGTTCAAAAGGTACTTATTACTTGCTAAGTAACAATTAATGTATGTGCAATTGTAGTTAATGAACACACTTTGCCCGTCTTCGATTATTTTGTTCGTTACATTAGGTATCGGCCATAGAAGAATGTATTTTAAATCGTTAGTAAATCTGTCCTCTAATAACGCATCAGCGGTTGAATTATTTTGTATACGTTCACGATACTTTTGTACTTGAGATATCGAAGTATACGCTGTATGGAATGTGTAAAAGGCGAGAACAACATACATCAGAAGACCAGTACAGCTGAGGAGAAAGAACAGTTTCGCAAACGTTTCTGTCTTTAGCATTTTCACTACACACTTCACTTTATAGGTTCGGTAAGTTATGGTTTGTGCAACGTTTGGTCAGACAATAAATATCAACGAATGCCCAACAGATATTGTATTGAACAACAACATTAAACAAACAACGTTTGTTGATCAACAAACATTGAGAGTGGACATAATTTGCGTGTTTACAATTCGCGGTATTTCTGTGGATTCAAATTAAGAAATTTGAGATAAAAATGCTCAGGATGTTGATAGATAAGAGAATAAAAACATGAGTTTAAATACAAATTTTAACAGTTTAAATACTGTACAAATAAATGTTCCAAGTAAATATATTTAAATCATACTAATGTTATAAATGCAAATGTTTAGACGGATGGATGTTTGTTAGAGTTTGTAGCCTAAACGGCTTAACGGATTCTGATGAAATTTGGAATAGATGTAGAGGATAGTGTGGAAGAACACATAGGCTACTTACATTTGCTTTTTTTATATTTTTTATATTTTACATTTTTATATTTGAAAACTAGTTATTTTATATTTGTGTAAATTCAAAGAGTGACCTTTCTTTCACTATCAGAAGTTTTATATAAAATTTTTCTATCATTCGATGTCTCCGTCTATTTGCTTAGACCTGTTTCGTTAAAGGCAGCGTGTGTTTCCATTGCCGATCATTTAATAGCATATAAAACAAAATAATATTACAAATATATACATTTTTATGCACGTTATTGTAATAAAGTTCCCATAGTTACTTCCTACCTAGGTAGTAAATACGCGGTATCCTTGGGATAAAATTACACTTTTGGAGAAATTTATATTATAGACAATATTTGAGATGAATTTTTCCAAATTATTATATGCTTCAAATTACTTATACTTCACTTTAAATATAAATTTCAGTGTTATTTTAGATAAATTATTTACCATAAATAATAGACATAAGGGTAACAGCTGTAACTTCGAGCAGTCTGTGTACATCGTCTCGTACAATGGAAACGCGGCGAGCTCTTTGCATGTAGGACGTTGAGACTTCGGCAAATATGGACATCGCGTATGAAGTCAAACAAAATTACGTATTCCATAAAAATATACCCTCACAGTGCACGTGACAAGAAGTACGTGATGACTGCCGGGTGAAGACATTTCATACATTATGTCTTTTTATATATTTATATAACCTTGCACTTATAGTTTTTATTAACTTAAGATAGACGAGGGAAAGCGGTCGAGATAGGTTACGAAAGTTATAACGAACAAATAATTCTTGAGTAGCATAAAAAAAAATAAAAACATCGTTAAAAAGTTAACAAATTTTACAAGAGATGTAAAAAAAACATCATAGTTAAAGATTAATAGATTAATAACAACCCAATATTTTTATTGTACACTAGTTTTCGTCTGCGTCTCCGTTCGCGTGGTATCAAAAAAAAACAGTAAGCAGCCTATGTGTTCTTCCAGACTATCCTCGACATGGTCTGAATCGAGATTCAGCAGTTTAGACTACAAACTCTAACAAACATACATTTAATTTTTTTTTACTTTCGCATTTATTACTGTCGACAAAACAACGTAATACAAATGAAAATGTATACAAGATATCCATTCATCAACTAAGATAATTAGACACCAGATAGCACCTGCACCGACTTAATCTGTCCAAAGGAAGATTTGTGTTAATCCGTTTAATACCGTCCTAATGTATTCACTTGTGTTACTTACACGCACGTAAGCAACTAAACTGTTGAATAGTGTAATTATATCGCACAACTGTTTAGTCTCGCTTTGATTCCTATAAACTGATATAGAGGTATCACTACTCGATTTTTAGTTGTGCAACCAAACACTTGAATTGGCTGCAAAACAATCGACAAACCCACAACAGTTGTGCGATAGTTTAGTTAGTGATGCGCCCGCTCTAAATGGAGAAATTAACGCTTTATTAATTAAGGAAGATCCCAAAATTGGCAAACAAACATCACTTTTGAAACCTTATTCCTAGTGATTTTAAATTTAACATTGCATATTTTAAAAGAATAAAATAGATTCATTCATTAAGACACAATTAAGAAGAAAGGGAAAAAATAACATTCACTTGAAAAATACTTACAGAGTTACAATTGAGGTCAAGTGGAATTCTCGGGCCAGTTTAAAAAGTTTAATTTCCTCGCACACGACTTGCAAAGGTGCCAAAGGCAAGCAGCCAACGATATAAAACTAAAGAGTGTGAAACTTGAATCTATACAAGTATGTAACTTGCAATGTAACTTAAAATAGAGTAATATTAAAACCAATTAATATAATAAAACATTTTACTTTTATATAGAACATTTCTGAATTATATCAATAAAATAACTATAGTAAAATCGATTATAATTCATTCTTTAAATTTGCTTAACATTGTTTAACAATTTGCTTACATCCTTAAGCACATCCTCTTTCACACAATCCATCCATACTTTCTTCGGTTTTCCTCTACCTTTGTAGCCATCCACATTCAATCTTAACACTTTCTGGTTTATGTCCCCATCGTCTCGTCGCATAACATGTCCATACCACGCTAACCTTTTGCTTCTCAATTTCTCCACTACTGGCGCTACTTTCAAACGTCCTCTAATGTATACATTTTTAACTTTATCCATTCTTGTCAAACCACACATCCATCTTTACATACGCATCTCAGCCACATGCAATCACCTTTCATCCGCAACTTTAGTGGCCCAACATTCAGAACCATACAATACTTATTGAGTTAAGTAATTAATACTTTAAGTTAAGTGAAAATTAAATACGTTTAGATATCAACAATCGTCAGATTACATTTGTTATTGTTGATTAATTCTCTATCAAATCTGAAATTGCTATCTGATGTCCAATTAGGTTGTACGAATGATATCAAAGCCTATCGAAATTGCTCAATGGTTTGACTAAATTCGTGACGGTAGGGTAGTCATTGTGATTACATTTACTACAAGTTAAGCAAATGAACGTTAGAAATAAATGACGTAATAAGTACCTAAACATTTTTTTCAGAATTGCACAAACTCTCACCCTCGTCATTATCATCTCCCCGTCATTACGTCATACGGTGTACCAGGTTTTATGGCCGGTTTCCGACCTACTTTTAACCTTTCGATAGTTCTAATGGTTCGATAAATTCTTAAAATGAGGTTCCGAACTAGGTAACTTGAGTTTTACTCCTTTAAAATTTAGGTTAACCTCACTAGTTAACTAGGTAGTCATAAAATAAATGAATAAAATAAATACATACAGACACTCCAATTTTATTATCTGTATCTAGTGATTTTAGTTGCCAGTTTTTCCCGATAGTTTTTCTTAAACATTTTTAAATTTAACGATAACTATGATTAGGTTCTAATCATCAAAACATGGCGGATACTCTCGGTACGCGGTCTCTCCGGCATCCGAAGCACCTCGATTATCTCGACGGCATTCGACAGCCAGTATTCGCGTGCCGATGGTTAGCCAATGCTATTCGATGAGACAAAATTTCCCGTCTATACATTTCATCTATTCACGGAACTTTGAAATGTGAAAATTACATCATAACCTTAAATACAAAATAACAAAATTGCCTTGAAATTTGACATAAAATGCAAAATTCTTAAATAATTCACTATCGTAAAAGATAATTTTATAACAAAGTGATATTGTCAAAAGAGTTTGTTCATTTAATTCCCGTTTCAAGAACAGTTTTCAATTTGTTTTCAACGAGGTTGTATAATATTAGTCATATAATGATTTAAATTCCGAGCTCAAAGCAATATTGCTACGCCGTTTCATACGATGCATTTCCCGCTGAGAAAGATTAAAACAGTAGTCAAAAGCATCTCCTTGTGGAAATTTAGATACTCTAATTTCCATTTACACGATTTTCATTACGTCTACAAACGATATTAACGTACATTCATTTTCATTCATCACCACAAGATGGCGGTAGGAATATTACTTGCACTAAAAAGCAATAAAATCTTATCATCCTATTGACCTCACAGTCATTAATTAGTGACTAAGAGAGACACTAATTTTATTTTTTTAACTTAATCTACACTAAGACATAGGCAATATAATGATAATTAATCTATAACTATCTTAAAGTGAAAAAGTCTCAAGTATTGTGATTTTTCGTATTTAGTTGAGTAAAAAACAATTTGATACTTTCACAACTATGATAAAATCTCTATAAAAGTGCAGAAATACCCAACAAATTGAAAGAGGTTCTTCAGTAAAATATAAGAGGAAATAATTACTATTAAACTGAGCAAAAATCACTGAGCGCACAATGTGTAAGGTGTAAGTGGCGAGGCGTGCCATAAATCGTCTGAACATCTTCGAGCCGTGGACCAATTAGTACAAGATGGCGCCGTAGACCTGTCCGGATGGTGTTATGCAAGAGCTATTTAAAGTTAGTCAATTAATATCAGAGTACATTAACATTCATAGTTTAGTATTGTTATCCTTGTTTGCTATTTAATCGATTATTCTAATATTTAGAATCCATACTTTAATTACATACTAAGCTTGGAAATTATTTATCAAAACTGTCGACTGATATTTTTACAATAGTTTTATTTTGATATAAATTGTTTTTACCTAAATAATATATGCCTTTAATTCGAATACATTTTTCGTAGGAGTGTCAAAGGGCCAATCAAAATTCCGGGGCTCGAGTCGAAGCTCGAACCTCACAATAAGGCTCGAGCCTTTATAAAAGACTCGAACCTTGAATGAGTCGAAGACTCGGGAGACTCGAGCCTTTTACTACTCTAATTATAATTGAATAATTTTTAAATCAGTCTATCAACATGCTTTAGGATTACATTACTGGGATGACTATACCAAGTATTTGATAGGAAGGAAAAAAATACTTTCTTAAAAAAAGGTAACACAAATTAAAAATTAAATTTTTTCAATAGTTTCTTTTGCATAACGCGGTCCCCACTGCTGGCATTGCTACAGCCGAGTGTAGTTTTTAACGAATGCCGTGAAAGCGTTAATTACTTTTACAGTAATTAATATGA